AAGACAATACAGTCTACAACAGTATGAACTATACAAACACTGTTGATGTTTTTACTATTAATGTGTATGGGACTACTGCTCTGAAGGAAAGAACTGTCTTAGTCACAGACCAAATTATACAATCTCAACCAAGTAACTGACTTCATGTCAGATTGGTAAAAGAAGGTACAACTTTTTATTGGAATATATACTTAATTACTCTTCATGTACATAACCATCCTCTGAAATGAAGGACCACTGGGAAAACTGTGCTTCTATACCCAGCTAACCCAGAATAAAAGGGCTTATTTTGCAAAGTCTCTCTTTCAAACTCTAACTTTTTTAACTTTTATGATCTCACAAATAACTCTTCGTGTACCCAGTAAATCAACCTAAGTGCTCCTAATGACCAACTAGCAAGAATCCACCTGACAATAATCTGAACCTGACAGACCCCACTCATCGTTCACCAACCTAACCAAAAAGCGATCTGCAAAACTTACAGTTGAAGAAGTCTGACAAGACTACCAAAAATTAAAACTGCCCTTCATTTTTTAAAAAATTCCATTATTTTTAAAAGAAAAAACATAAGGAAAACTTCTCCATTAGGATTTTAACAAAATTACATTCAGTTAAGAAACACTTTTGCTCACTAAAAGATTTGTATTGAACTCTAAAGAATGTACTTTTTAAGTTACATGAAAGCTCATTTATCTTCTGAATTTAAATTAGCAAATAATTTTTCCTTACACAGTTATTACAATGATTAAATTAAATAATCATTGTAATGATTACTGAAAAATAATGTATGTTATTTACCTATTACCTATTAGTTATTACAATGATTAAATTAAATAATCATTGTAATGAATAGTGAAAAATAATGTATGTTATTTACCTATTACCTTGTCTAGGACCAGTATCTATTTGATAGATGTTAATACATTAAATATTCTGAGAAGTAAGTTTAAAAAAAACAAGTAGAAACCTTGGTCAGGTAGCTTTAGTTGGTTAGAGTGTCATCCCAATATGCCAAGGTTGTGGGTTCGATCCCCAGTCAGGCAACCAATGAATGCATAAATAAAAGGAACAACAAATCGATGCCTCCCTCTCTCTCCTCTCTCTCTCCTCTCCACTGTCTCCTCACCCCCTTCCTCTCTCTCTAAAATTGATGAATTTTAAAAAGTAGAAAATTAATATCCAACTCTTATATTTAGTACATTTTTATTCTCCAATCATTTGCAAGGGCTCACTGTTTATCACTGAGTTTAATATAAAGAGATACTTACTTGAAGAAAGGATCTAATTTTAATTAACCATTAAATATAATGGATTTTACTGTACTAATGTCTGATACTGTGGTATTCACAAAGCAATGGAACTTCTCCATCTATGACCTCTGCTGAAGAAATATATTTTATTTCAGTGTGATCTCTGCTAAATTAAATGTCACATAATGAGATCTCTGGCATCTCATTATAATTTAATTTTTAAAATAATACTTTAAATTTAAAAAATTTCCCATTATTCTTCTATCCCAACATCTTTCAAACCCAGAAAAAAATTTTTTTCAGTAATTTTCTTTTTTATAGAAAAAACCCAAGCAAAAACAAATTAAAAGAGAAACATAGCATTTAAAAAATTCTTCCACAGTTTTCATAAAGAAAAATGCTGCTATTTGAATTACTGTGCTGATGAGTTGCAATTAGTACACACAATTACGCTACATATGACTAGTTTATGTGTCTTGTTATCCCATTAATATTTACCACTATTAATACTTAAAAGATAACCATTGCAATCAGAAGGATTTAAAATAGTGGAAAGAAGTGAAGACTATAAATACAACTTGACAATTATCAAAACTTATCAATGGGTTGCGTAAAAGATGTTAGTTAAGTACGTTAACTTTTTTAAACAGAATTTTAACAAATGGACTGAATTCCGGACGGAGGTAGAAGTTAGAGAGAACTCAAATAGAACACAGCCCTTCCCCAGACCTCCATCCACACTCCATTGTTAGTTTTTCCTTTGTGACTGTGAAATGTATACCACAACCCACTCAATCTGCCCAGTAAGTCACCTTGGGCAAGTTAGCTTTTTATACGCAGGCATACTTGGTTCTGTTGCGCTTCATGTCATTGTGCTCACAGGTACCGTGCTCTTCTCAAGTGGAAGGCTTGTGGCCACCTTACTTCAAGCAAGTCTCAGTGCCAATATTTTTCCAACAGCACTTGCTTACTTCATGTGTCTGTGTCACATTCTGGTAATTCTCACAATATTTTAAACTTTTTCATTATTGTGATAGTGATCTGTGATCAGTGATCTTAGATGTTACCATTGTAATTTGAGGGGGGTGCTCACATAAGATGAAAAAATTAATGTTGTGTATATTTTGACTGTTCCATCAACCAGTTGTTCCCCCGTCTGTCTCTCTCCCTCTCCTTGGGCCTCCCTATTCCCTGAGATGCAACAAATTAAAATGAGGCTAATTAACCCTATAACAGCCTCTAACTATTCAAGTGACAAGTCACATATCTCACTCTAAATCAAAAGCTAAAAATAATAAAGCTTGGTGAAGAAGGCATGTCAAAAGCCAAGGCAGGCCAAAAGCTAGGCCTTCTGCACCAGTTAGTCAAGGTGTGAATGCAAAGAAAGAGTTCCTGAAAGAAATTCAAAGTGCTACTCCAGTGAACACATGAATGGTTAGGAAACAGCCTTACTCCCGATACGAAGAAAGCTTTCATGGTCTAGATAGGAGACCAAACCAGCCACAACATTCCCTCAGCCAAAGCTTAATCCTGAGCAAGACCCTAACTCTCTTCAATTCTGTGAAGACTGAGGGGTGTGGAAGCTGAAGAAGAAAAGTTTGAAGCTAACAAAGGTTGGTTCATGAGGTTTAAGGAAAGAAACCATATCCATAAAATAGAAATGCCAGGGACACAGCAACAGCTGATGAAGAGGCTGCAGCGAGTTATCCTCCAGAAGATCTAGCTAAGATAATTAATGAAGGTGGCTACACTAAACAATAGATTTTCTATGTATACAGAACAGCCTTATACTGGAAAATGCCATCTAGGCCTTTCACAGCTAGAGAGCAGAAGTCAGCCTGGACTCCAAAGCTTCAAAGGACAGGCTGACTCTCTTATAAGGGGCTAATGTAGCTGGTGACTTCAAGTTAAAGCCAATGCTCACTTCTCATTCTCAAAATCCCAGGGCCCTTAAGAATTATACTAACTCTCCTCTGCCTGTACCCTGCCAGTGGAAAAATAAGCTTAAAGATAGCACATGTGCTGACAGCATGGATTACTGAATATTTTAATATTTGAGACCTACTACTCAGGTAAAAATTCCTTTCAAAATATCGCTCGTTGAATATGCAACTGATCACCCAAAAGCTTTAATGGAAACGTACTATGAGATTAATGTTTTCATGCCTGCTAATACAACATCAAACCTGCAGTAGTAATTTAGACATCCAATTCTTACTGTTTAAGAAATATACTTCATAAAGCTATAGCTGCCACAGATAATGAATCCTCTGATGAATCTGGACAAATTAAATCGAAAACTTCTAAAAAGGATTCACCATTCTAGATGCCTTTAAGAACATTCGTGATTCACAGGAAGCGGTCAATATATCAACAGTGACAGGAATTTAGAAGTTGACTCCAACCCTCACAGACGGCTTTAAGGTGTTCAGATTTCGGTGGAGGAAATAACTACAGATGCATCAGAAGTAGCAAGAGAACCAGGGTTAGAGGCAGAGCCTGAAGATGTGACTGAATGGCTGCAATCTCATGACAGAACTTGAAGAGGTAAGGAGTTGCTTCTTTCTAAAAGAGCAAAAAAAGTGGTTTCCTGAGATGGAATCTATTCCTGATGAATATGCTGTGAAGACTATTGAAATGACAACAACAACCTCAGAATATTACATAAACTTAAGAAAGCAGCATCAGGCTTTAAAGGACCAACCCTAATTCTGAAAGAAGTTGCCCTGTGGGTAAATTCTATCAGACAGCATTGGACTCTACAGAAAAATCACTGGTCAACTGATGAAGCAAACTTCACTGTTGTCTCATTTTAGAAACTGCCACAAGTACTCCAGCCTTCAGCAATCCCCACCTTGATCAGTCTGCGGCCATCAACATGGAGTCCAGACCCTCCACCAAAAAATGATTAAGGCTTGCTGAAGGCTCAGATGATGATTAGTAATTTTAGCAATAAAGCATATTTTAATTAAGGTAGTACATCATTTTTCAGACATGCTATTGCACACTTAAAAGACTATAGTATAGTGTACACTTTTACGTGCACTAGGAAACCAAAAATCTCACGTGTCTTGCCTTACTGCAGTATTCACTTTATTGTGATGGCCAGTCTGGAGCCAAACTTGCAGTATCTTCAAGTTATGCATGTGCCCAGCACAACTGAAATTTCCTTTCTTTCCCTTCAGAGCTCTAGATTGTGTATTAGAACTGGTACTGTGTTGAAGAAAAATAATCACAAATAGGTAACTAATTTCTCAGTATTAAAAAAAAAAAATCCAGCCCTGGCCAGGTGGCTCAGTTTGTTGGAGCATCATACACCAAAAGGTCGTGAGGTCGATTCCCTGTCCAGGTGCATACCTAGGTAGCAAGTTTGATCTCCAGGTGGAGTGTGTGTGGGAGGCAACCAATTGATGTCCAGTCTGTCAGTCTGTCTGTCTGTCTCTCCCTTCTTCTCCTTCTAGCATCAATAAACACATCCTTGAGCGAGGTTTTTAAAAACACAGAAAAAGGTTCAAAATAGTCAGATAAATAACTAAAAGTATCTGTATGTAAACTGAAAATCTACCACCTATCTGTGTATTCCAAGGCAACCATAACCAATCTTGACTGAAATTTGAGAAAAAAATACTTGTTGCTTCAAATAATTCCATTCCATAAAAATATTCAGGTTTCAGAAAGTACTTAAAAATTAGATCATGTTTTTAAAATGGATGCAGAAAATGGAAACAGAATTAGAAAAGGTAAACTTACCAAATATATTAGTGGAGTGGCCTTTCTTCGCAATAGGTCTGAGTTCATTATGTCCCCATCCATATATTCTGTAATTATCCCAGGCATGCTTCATCATCTGAGAAAAGAGAAATTATAATCCATCCAGTTACATTATTCACACTGTTATCTCTGTATCTCGTGTAATTTAGAGATTCTGTTACTAAATCCTCACATATTCTCCTATATATCCTACATTAATATATTATACTATTAACATTTGTACCAGTGCAAAACACAGATAATGTTTATTCTCAGGGTCTACACAAATTGAGTGTAACAGACAAGTTCTTCCTATTAAGAAGAAAGGTGTCTGTTTGGCATGCATTTCTTTCAGGAACTGCCAATCTTTTGGGTAACTGGTCCCCTTCCCCCACTGTGATTATGACAGAACTGTCAATCAAGACGTCCTAACTACACAACCAAATAACACAGCCTGGCTAGAGAACCTTTTAACCTCAGAACAATGACCAGCAAACTCCTTCTTTAAGTATTTTAGGCTTTGCAGTCGATACAGGTTCTATACCAAATACTTAATGCTGCTACTATAGCACAAAAGCAGCCCTAGACAATACATAAGCAAGTGGGCAGGCCTGTTCCAATTAAACTTTATTTTGAAAAAATAAAGGCAGAGCCCTCGCCAGATGGCTCAGTTGGTTGGAGTGTCATCCCGTACACCAAAAAGTTGCGGGTTTGATCCCCAGTCGGGGCACAATAAGGGACTCAACTAATCAATGTTTCTCTCACATCAATGTTTGTTTTTTTTTCTTTCTTTCCTTTCCTTTTCCTTCCCTTTCCATTCCCTTTTCCTTCCTTCCTTTCTCTCTTCCCCTTCCTCTCTTTTTCTCTCTCCCCCTCTTCCTCTCTCTCCAAAAAGTCAATATACATGTCCTCAGATGAAGATTAAAAAAAGTAATCATTTTTTTTACAAGTCAGAATTTGGCCCACAGGTTGTGGTTTGCCTTCCCCTGACCTGGACAAAGTGACTCTATACATGTGATTCACATAGGGACAATCAAGTCCTTTTACACGTATTAGTACGGACAGTAGGAGAGGGACTCTCTCATTTTGCAACCTCAAGGTCTAAGTAATATATAATCTTGGAACTGATGGGGACTCTCTCCCAATTTAAAGAAACTAAATAACAAAAGAAAGGGAAAGAGACAGATTCACATTACTGATGATACCATCTATAGACTTGGATTCAGCCAAGCTTCAAGCCCTCAGAGCCATTACACTAATAAACACTTTTTTATCAATCGGTTTGTACTGAGGTTCTTATAACCCAAGGAGTCTAAGAAACACAATAGCAAAGTATTTAATTATATATCAGTTGAATTATTTAATAGTAGACTGTAGTATAGCAAAAATCTATTCATTTAACAGTACACATTAAACACTTTCCGATTTGGTTTTTTTTTTTTTTGCAGCCAGCCTTACTCAGATACCAAAACCAGGCAAACACATTACAAGGAAACTAAAAACCAATAAAAACACAAATGCAAAACTGCTGAACAAAAATTAGCAATAAATAAGAAGGACACAATGACCAAATGCAGTTTAACCCAGGAATTTAAGACCAATATTCAAAACACCAATCAATATAATTCATCATGTTAATACAATACAAGAAAAAAATATCACCCAATAATCTTTATAGATATAGACAAAGCATCTGACAAAAACTGAACACCCACTCATGATAAAAACTGTCAGTGAACTACAAATTAACATCCTCAACTTAATAGAGTCTCTTCAAAACCTACTTCTAACTACACATTTAATGGTATAAGAATAAATGCTTAACCCCTACAACTGAAAACAAATTAAGTATGTCAATTCTCATCACTTCTTTTCAACAGTGTACTAGAAGTCCTAGAGAGTGCAATAAGAGAAGAAAAAGAATTAAAGACATAAAAATCAAAAAGGAAAAAGGTAAAAATTTCTAATCACAGAGAATATGATTCTGTACAAGAAAAATTCTAAGCAATCTAAAAAAAAAGTCACTAGAACACAGGATATAAGTTTAACACTAAAATCAAATATATTTCTATATCTAGTAATAACAAGAAATGGAAATTTTAAAATAATTCATTTATAATAGCATCAACAAAGATGACATACATAGAAAAAATATAACAGAATATGTGTAAGAACTATATATTGGGAACTACAAACACCACTAACAGAAATTAAAGGAAACCTAAAAAAGTGGAAGGATGTAACATGATCATGGAATGGAAGGCTACTGTTAAGATTTTTCCAAATTCATGTAGAGATTCATGTAAAATCTCAATCAAAATCCACCAACCATTCATTTTCACAAATAAAGGTTAGTAGAAAGGTTAATGCTGGAAAGGCAGAAGACCCAGAAGGGCCAAAACAATTTACACAAAAAACAAAACTGGAAGACTTACTGAATTAAAAAACTCACTGTAAATTAAAGTAATCAATGCAGTGTCATACTGGCATTAGGGATAATTATGGAGATTAACGGAATAGATGTGAATCCAGAAACAGACTCAACACCTACTGATTCTGTCAACTGATTCTGTACAAAATTGCCAAGATAATTCAGTCAGGAAGAGATAATCCTTTCAACAAATAAACAGCTAGAAAGCCCTATGTAAAAAAAAAATAAAACAAGACCTTTACTTCTCACAATTAAAAAAACTGACTCACAATAGACCACAGACTACAATGTCAAAACTAACACTAAAACGTGTGTCCAAAGACTTTGAACACAAATGTATATAGCAACTTTATTCCCAACAGCCAAAAACTGGAACAAATGTTCAACAGGCAAATGAATAGACCCAATCATGGTATAGCCACAAAATAGAACACTACTAAGAAAAAAGTTAACTTTATATGCATTACACAAATAAATCTCAAAGACATTATGCTGAGCAAAAGCCTAGCAACAAACTGTCACACGCTTTATTACTCTATTACATTTGACTGAAACTCTAGAAAAGACAAATCTAATCTACAAATACTAAAAGCAGATTTGTGGTTGTCTAGGACCAAGGAACCAGGGGGACTGACCAGAGAGGAGGCACAAGAAACCCATTTTGAGATTATGGACATAGTCAAAGCTTGACTGTAATTGCTGTCACACAGACGTCAAAACCCATCAAGCAGTACTCTTAAAACAGGTACATTTTGTTCTATGTATATTGTTCCAATAAATTTTAAAAAATTTTAAATCTAATGACCTATCATAGCTTTCCCACTTGTAATTTCCACTCTCCTGAAACAATTATTTAAAGTTTCACCTATTTTTTTCTATTTACCACTATATTTCTAAATATAGGTTATAATGCCATTTCTTGTTTTTAAGTTTTAGATATTTACTATGTTCTCCTATAGTTAAGATAACTGAGCTCCCTAATACCACTATCCTCTCACCTCTACATATACTTCCCCACATACATGTATTTCCCTGACCCACATACTCCCAATGTAGTTAACATGTTTTCTTATAATCATTACATCACTTTGTTCAACCTTTGTTTTCCCTGCTATTAGCTACTGGTCCGAGGGTTTAGTGGGTTTTTGTTTGTTTCCTTATTTTCTAACATAACAGTTATGAATTTACTTCCAAATCAGACAAACTATCAGTTCTATTTTATTCTGTAACACATCCTTCCTGAAGCTCTCGGTCCTACTCTACTCTGGACTTCTGTTCTCGCCACATGAAGCGTGGCCATCGACTTCTGATTCCCTTAGACGCAATCCTAGGAATGTCCTTCTTTATTCTCTATAAAGATACCCTGCTTCCAAAATCCTTTCTCTTCTTATTTTTGTGCTGAAGCATATTTTACAGTAGCAATCTGAGAAAATGCCTAAAAATATCTTTACTGTCAGATCTGATTCATAATTTGATTAGACATAATGCTTTCTAGTTTGCAATATTATTGTTGAGGAACCTGATGAGCCATTATGTAAAATCCCAATTTTTGAGTGGAACCTTTTTTTCCCCCTATAAACTTTTAGGATCTTTTTTATGCTACTTTTCTAAAATTTCAAGAGTCTATTTTTTGGTTTTGTGTTTTTTTTTCTCATTGTGATGGTTGCCTGACAGGTCCTTTCCATCTGGCAACTCACTTGCTTTAGACTGGCTAATTTTCTTGAATTGTCTGATTTCTTCCCCTCCATTATCCCTGCTCTCTTCCAACCATAGCTATCTAATCACTTGTCAGATGTTCTAGATTGATCTTATAATTTTTTATTTTCTCCATTTTTTGTCATGAGAGATTTGCTCAATTTTATCTTCAAACTCTTCTTTTGAATTTTTAAATTCTATCATATTTTTAATTTCCAAAAGCTCTTTGTTACTTTATAAATGTTCCTTTTTATAACTTACTATTCTCATTTCATGAATTCATTTTTCTTGTCACTACAATGATGTTAATTTTGTAATTTTTTTTCTGCTCCCTGTATTATTTCTGTATCCTCTGAATTCCTTTGTTCCATCTGTTTTGTTCTGTCCTGTGAGCTGTGAGAAACTTTCCTTAAATATCTGGTGGCCTTTGGTTTGCTCTCCATATACGAGTGAGGCACTTACAAGACAAAGGCTGTCAGTGAATGAGCAAACTATTGCAGCTGACAGAGCCTCATCTTAGAGAGATCAGGTGAAACCCAGGGGTGCTTGAGGAACACTGTAGGTCTTTTCTCTTGGACCAGTCTCCCCAGGGAGAAGTCCTCCATTCTCTACCGTGTTGAATATAAACCCAGCTTCCAGATTTCTGAGAAGTGGGTAGGAGAAAGTGATCTCAACATTCAGAATGCATTTTTTACCTAATCCCTGTATGCCCCCCCCCACTCTTTTAATTTTTTAGGATGATCTCTGCGCTTTCACTCAGCCACACTCAGTATTCCCAAAATCCAGATATTCTCTAATTTATCCTTCCAAAAGGTTGACTTTTGTCTCTGTTGGGAAAGGAAGGGCAGTGGCTAGGATGCACAGGCTACAGAATTAGGGATCTGGTGGTTAAGAGCTCCTTTTAAAACTTTCAAATAATCCTTTTCCAGCTCTATTTTTTAAATACAGCCTTAAGTAAATGGTGTCTAATTCCTGACACTTTCAGGTATTCTGCAGTTCACATCACCTTTCCTCTAGTTAGCTCATTCCCCTGCAAGCTTAGGTTTCAACTTTCTCTGCTTGCTAATTCAGTACCATAGGTTTAACAGCAACCTACACAGGGGTCATTGTGTTTTACGCTGATTCTTTGGAAAAAATATGTGTTCTTAATCTGCTGTATAGTTATGGGGTTTCATGACATGTTCCTTAAAAGATGGAAGATTTAATGCTAACTCTTCAGAAGCATGTCTCTAAGGAGATATGCATAGCATCTAACAGAGTCCCTGATAACTTCTTAACACTTAAGAAATTTCTTATTCAATGATAAATTATTTATAAACCTATTCTACATTATCTATAAAATGCTGAATATCAAAAGATCTCTGAACACAGACAGGGTGAATGATGTAACCATCCAAACAATATGTCAAAATTTCAAGTGTTCAATAATTATAACCCATATTAAGAAAGAGAGAGTTCTAGTGCTTTCTACCAACTTAGAAACTGAATTACAACTATGACTCCAAAACAAACAAGGCCAAAGTACGACAACATAAATGGTGTGTGGTGTCTCCAGTCAAATACAGATGCACAACCACTCTGTATCTTAAACATCAGCTTATTATTACCTCTTTAATTTTTTCCCTTTTCTTTTTTATGTCATTATCTTCAGGGTCTCCACCACTTATTCCTAAAAGGTTTGGTATAGGGACTGGTGGCAGTGGCTTTTTCTCTTTTGTCTTCATTTCTTGGACTACCTTATTTTTCTCTGTCTGAATTTCTGCTCGGATTTCCTCTCTCGACTTTTTTAATTTTTCTTTTGCTTCTTCCAGGGCCTTCTCATGATCAGCTCGAATTTTGTTTCTCAAATGTTCCTCTTCTTCCCTGTAAGAAAAGGAGGAAAAAAGACTGGTTTGAATGACCCTTAAGAACTTCAAGCTTTAAACGTAAAACTTAAAGTTTCCTCCACCGAACTCTGATAGCTGTTTCCTGCTTCTGCCGTTAAAAGGAAGGAATGAGGGGTGAGAGGCTCATGTCTATTTGCCTAAAGAAGACGATAAATATAACTTGGTATGAGCCCCATATGACAACTAACATGCTAACACTTTACACAATGGAGGAAGAGGGAACCAGAAAGTAAGTTACAATTTCAGGGCCAATGAGAACAGAGAAAACAGCAATCTGTAACTTATCAGTAGACACATTAAAAACAAAAAGGGGAAAAAAAAGGAGGCAGGGGAGGAGAGAGAAAGGAAGGAAGGGAGACACACCAGTGAAAAACTAGGTGGGAGAGAGAAAATCAAAAACAGAATTAAGAATTAAGTATCAAGATGAACGAAAATATAAATAGTGTCAAGGAAAGAGATAAGTGGAAAAATAAGAGGATGGGAAAATTTTCATTATTATAATAGTACATCATGCTCTTCCAAAACTTTTGCATTTTGGATATACCACAGAGCTTATAGCACAGCCATTCCTGAGTGATGCAGGTATGACTACTTAAAATTCTCTTGAGCTCTTGTCACAAACACACATTCCAATTCAGCAGGCCTGTGAGACACCCATGAATCTACATTGCTAAGAGCTCCCCTGATGATTCTGGTATACACACACACTGGAAACCACTACTGCAGTGGACACTGGGTTTCCTACCCAGGCCTACTTTGTAAGAGCTCAATCTTCTCTCGATCTCCACCCCAATCCATGTGAATGAATGGAGTAGTGGTAGGTACTACTTTCCAAACCAGCCAAGAATGATGGTTACTCCAAGGGTAAACATCTAACCCAACCATCACCACAGTCACTTTGCAAACCCCCTTGTGGTCCTCGAAAAATTTAGACAAGTAATAACAAAAAGAATCACTGTTGTGGCTTAGAGGTATGAGGCACTGGCTTAGTAAATTACTTAGATTAGCTTATTAAATTCTCACACCAATTTATGAAGTACCCTCTATTAAACACTGTTCTCACTTTATTATGAAACAGTAAGGCACAAAAAGAAATATTAAGTAATTTGTTTAGTGCCATAGAGCTAGTAAGTAGAGAACCTAGTTACAAACACATGCATTTTGACTTCTTAAACACTATGCCTTTCACATAAGGAATAAATGTTAAGAATTTGTTTTTTACTGTATTAATACTAACACCTGTCTTTCAGTATCTTTTCTCCCTTCTTAGTCCTAGAGCCCTCAATTTTTCAATAAGCACATGATCCTGCTAAATAAAAAATCTATTTCTCAGCCTACCTTACTGAAATTGCTCCCATGGAATTCATGTGATCAGAAATGAACTTCTACCTTGCGTAAGCCACTGTTATTTTGTGATTTTTATAGCTGGTAAATAACCTAATTGTAAATGAGCCACACTCCTTCCTAGATGGTCTCTTTCCCTAGGGCTCTCATCAGTATCTGAGGGTTGATTTGCCAGAAATATATTAACCAAGTGATAGATTTCCTTCTCCAATTAGTATATTTAAATAAATCATGTTCAGAAACATTGTGAAGGACAGACACAATCCTCGATTACCTATGAATCACATAATCAGTGTAAAAAATTACACTGAAATCTTATTTGTCAAAGATTCAGGCAAAGATACAAATATTTTCTTTTTCTATTCACTCTCTCTTTGTCTAGTAGACCTTTACTCTTCACCTACACAGAGTCTCATCCACTTATTAAAGAATACATAAATAGATACAAACTTCCTTAAAAACTGCCTCCACCTCTACCTCACTGGGGTTCCCTGCCTCCCTTGAGTACTCCACTTGCTGTTTCCACTTTCCTCAACCTCACACCAGTCTTATATCCACCACAGTTAAAAACTGATACCTGAGTTTATCCTTCCTTTGAAAGTCCCTCTCCCTCCTCTGGCCTGCCTTTACAAGTTCCTGATCATTGGCTCTATCATCAGTGTACCCCAAATATATTGTATTCCATCCTCACTTCTGTTCTTATTTTACATACTCTTCCTATTCAATATTATCCAACTGTTGCAACAAAATACATATGGTCAGCCTTTACCGGGTTACTAAGTACTCTGGATCAAAATTTCTAACACTGATAATTTGTTTCTGTGGCTGCCAGGTTTGTTTGGTTTCTCCCTAAGACACCATTCCTTAGGCTGAATATTTGTGTCCCTAAAAATTTCTATGGTGAAACTTTAACCCTAAACATGATAGTATTTGAACATGAGGCTTTTGGAAAGTAGTTAGTGTTAAATTAGGTCGTAAGGGTGAGGCCCTCATGATGGACTTAGTGGTTTTATAAGAAGACAAGAGAGCCCCTGCCAGTGTAGCTCAGTTGGTCAGAGCAACCTCCCATACACCAAAAAGGTGGCAGGCTCAATTCCCGATCGGGGCATGTGCCTGGGTTGTGGGTTCAGTCCCAGTTCCAGCATGTGCAAGAGGCACCCTATGGATGTTTCTCTCCCTCTCTCTCTCTTTCCCTTCCCCTCTCTAAAATCAAAAAGCATGTCCTCGGGTGAGGATTAAAAAAATAAACAAAAGCTAAACTATTAAAAAGAAAGGAAGACAAAGAGAAACAGAAATATATCTTTCTCTTTATATAACTCTCCTCTCACCCCGCCCCACCCCACCCCCTCTTCCTGAACAGCCCCAAGCAGCAAGAAGGCAGCTAGCTACCTGCAAGCCAGAACAAGCCAGGAAGAGAGCCTTCACCAGAAACGGGCCCTGCTAGACCTTGATCTTGGACTTTCCAGCCTCTGAAACTGTGAGATTTAAACCATCAGTCTATAGTGGTTTGTTATGGCAGCCCAAGCAAGATTCATTTTGAGTTAAATTTTATAAATGGTCCTGGAGGCAGACTTTAAATTGAAGCAGAGGGCCTGAAAAGGAACCAAGTCTCTTGAACTAAGGAAAGGGACCAGAAACAAAACAAGAAAGTGAGAAATAATGCCCGAGCTATACAGTACAGACAGTGAAAGATGGAGGCCAGTAGTAATTTCTAGCCCTTCATTTAAATGATCCTTATAACCTAGCATTTCTCAAATACACTATGGGCATTTTAGGCAAGACAATTCAATTCTGTTGTGCAGGACACCAGGGCACTGTGGTGGACCGGTGAGCATTCCTGGCCCTCATCTACTAAATGCCAATAGTGTCACTCTTCTCTTCACCGTAACAAACAGAAAATGCTCCCACGTTTCTGAGACCTCTGTTCAAGGAGAACAGTACTGGCCCATCTTAAACTACTGCACAGAAAGTTCTAGAAGGGCAGAGTCTAGGAAGACTGTTTATATCTACATTTCTAAATACCACAGAACAAGTATGAACTTTATCCCTAACTATAATATGTCACTATAATAAAACTTAGGGTTCATTACAGTTTATATTTCTTAAGAGGTTAATATGTAATCCTCCACCTAAATTCAGAAATTCACCAGCATATTGGCAGCAGAATCCCTCCTTCTCTTTCTATAGAAACCAAATGGTTCTAGATACTTTATCTTTATATTGTAAAACAGCAAGGCAAGGCCATATGACCTACACTTAGGCAATCTGATGCTCTGCCTGAAACTACAGATCTGGAATAAGTGACATAAGGAAACAAAAACTCAGTTTTAGAAATTACTGAGAAAGCAGGGGAACCCACTGTCCAGAGGTAGCGCAGTTATAACCAGTCCTAGTGACCAGCAGCACTGGCAATGGTGCTTTACTTCTTAACCCTCAGCATGGTTCTGCATACCTGTCTTTCTTAAATGCCAGTCTTCTAAACCTAATTCCACAGACCTAATGTCAACTTTGAAAGCCAACCAATGTCCTTCCAAAAAAAAACCTATTTTTCATGCATTATAGTTGGTTTCTAACACTTGTATCCAATATTCCTCTCTAAGTCTTTTTAGTGCAGATGCAAGAGGTATTCTAGGACTATGACCTAAGCACTTGCCCTGACTCACTCCCTCTCAATTCTTGCTAAGGCAGTTCAGCTAATGTAAAATGAAAATTTCTGACCCACTAACACTACTGAAAAATAACAGTCTCACCTACATGCTTAAAACTCCAAGTTATTCAGACTATGGCATAAATGAGAACAAGATGGAATATAGGAAGGCAGTCAACCAGCCCATAATTACTATTTACTACTACTCATTCCTAAAGAAGGTAGTTTCAGAAATCTAGAAAGAGACCTGGGACCTTCCAAGGCACTAACCTATCCAGACAGCTTTCCTGTAAGGCTATTCACATGCCTAAGCTGAGAACTGCTGAGAGGGCCTGTCTCAGTCCCTTGTGGGAAGAAATCCTCCTGATCATCTACCCACCCAGTCCAAAGCCATTACCTACAACTTAAAGGCTCTCCAGAGAAAAGGCCCATCCCAACAGACACACATTTTGCCTGAAGTGAGCTGTTAGCTATTCAACTCCTATTCCACAAAGAGGCCCCTCAGAGACTGCTCCACCCACTGCTCATCCAGACCTAATTAAAGTTCATATACTAAAAACAAGAAAGCCGTACAGCGCCAGTGAGTAAACCAAAATTCTCATCTTCAAATCCACTCTACTTCATGATGCTGGGGCTCGGACTCTCCAAATTACTCCCATGTTTTTTTGCCAGTTGGTTTCCTATTAGGTTCAACCAACAGGGAGTACTAAGAGAAGACTAGAAAGCAGAAAGATGGGATCTTAATAACATAATTCTAAAACAGAAATGTCAATTTAGCAAGACGAAATAACAATTATAAATATATATACATCAAAAAACCCCAAAATATATGAACAAGCATAGAGAGGACTGAAAGACAAAACATAATTTCACAATGGTAGTTGGAGATTTCTATACCCCACCATCAATAATGGCTAGAATATCTAGAAAAAAGACCAATATGGAAAGAAAAGATATGAACAACACTATAAACCCACTAAATCTAA